TCATATTATCTAAACTAAGCTGGGCCTTTGATGCTTTTAGAACAATCTTTTTATAATCTAGCTCTCCCTCCTCTATCCTCAAGACCCCAATTCCATTCTTTGGTTAATCTCTTCTGAGCAGATAACTTCATCAAATATTTTACTTTTAAAAGTGAGGCTATTCATCATAAATTTATTAATCTCCCTTCCTCTACACTTCACCATAATTTCAGAGGATGAGGAGGCTCTCTTCCTGCAAGTTTAGCCCCTCCTCTTATGTCTGATTATATCACCTCTTGCCTCCTTCAGGAGATTGCTTCATTAATCATTTTTCCTCTTTCTCTAATCCCCAATCTCTTCTAATTACTGGTTCCTTCCATGCTACTTACAAACGTGCCCAAGCCTCCTTTATCCTTGGGAAAAAAAACAAAAAACCTTTCAATGTGCTTAATAAAAATTTGTTTGACTGTGCAATTTGAAGGAATTTTTTTGTTTTTGTTTTCGTTTTTTGTTTTTTTTGGGTTTTTTGGGGGGGGCAAAAAGGAGCAAAGGTATAACAATAGCTTGAAGAAATGACAGTGTCTAGTGCCAGGCACTGGGCTAACCTTTGGAAATACAAAGGCAAAAACAAAACAGTTTCTGCCCTCAAGGAGCTTACATTCTATAGGGGCAGACAACATGCATATATATAGGCATATACAAAACACATAGGAAACTGATATAAGATAACCTTAGGGAAGAAGGCACTAGCAACTAGAGGGACCAGAAAAGGCCTCATGCAGAAGGTGATCCTTGAGCTGAGCCTTGAAGGAAACCATGCATTCCAAGAGGAGGAAGTGAGGAAGAAACACATTCTAAGGACTGAGGATAGAGAGCCATGTATAAGGAACAGCAAGAGAAGCAATTTGGCTTCATTGTAAGTATGTGGAGGGGAGTAATGTGTAATAAAACTGGGAGGTAGATAAATGCCAAACAAAGAAGTTGCTATTTGATCCCAGAGATAATAGGGTGCTACTGGAGGTTACTGAGTTGGGGAAGTTAATACGGTCAGATTTACTCTTTAGGAAAATCATTTTGACAGCTGTGTGGTGAGTGGATTGGAGAGGAGAGAGATCTGAGGTGGGGAAACCAATCAGAAGGTGATTATAAGTCCAGTAGTGAGGACAGGAATGCCTGAACTAGAATGGTGGGTATGAGCAAAGAGATGAGGACTGATGCATGAGATGTGAAGGTAGAAATGACAAGATTTGTGAACTGATTGGATATATATGTTGAGGAAGAGTGAAGAGTCAAGGAGGACATAAGGTAGTGAACCTACCTTATGACTGAAAGGATGGTGGTACCCAAGGCAGAAATAGGGAAATTCAGAAGACAGTTGAGTTTGGAGGTGATATAAAATGTCCTATTTTGGATGTGTTGAGTTTGAGATGCTTTCAGGACCTTCTGTTAAAAATGTCCACTAAGTAGTTGGTAATAATGGACTGGATGTCCGGAGAGAGAATACAGCTGGTTATATAGATCTGGGAGTCATTGGAATAAAGATGATAATTGAATCAATGATAGCCCATGAGGTTGTGAAGTAAGAGAGTAGAGAGAGAAAAAGTAAGAAGGCTTAGGACAAAACCTGGGGGCTCTTTTCCTTCCTCTTTTCTAAGTCAGTATTTAAACACTGAGACCTACCCTCTCCTCTTGGATAGCCTCTCAAGATTTTCTCAAGCAATACTCCATGTCTGGAATGCATTCCTACCTCATTTTCACATCCCACTCTCCCAATTTTCAAAATCTTTTTCTTCAAGACTTAACTCAAATATACCTCTTTTGTGAAGCTTTCTCTGGCCAACCACCTTGAGTTCCTTCCCTACTTCTTTCCCTCCTCAGATTTTCCTAGAGCACTTGACCGGATCTTATGCCTACATCATATGCTACCCTGGATAAGTATAAGTATTATCCTTTCCCTCCAGGTAAGGGTGCTACCTGTTAATGAAGTAGGTCAATAGCTGCCTCAGTTTAAGCCAAAGACCTCGAGCAGAAGGCAGCTCCCTTTTTATAGTTTTAAGGGAATACAAAACAAAGAGGAAGTGGACTTCATAGTCGAGGAAAGAATATAATTGGTTATAGGGTTGGCAACATTATGGGGCTGTGCACAACATGATTGGTTACTGGCTGAGGCATGATTAAAAGGAGAACTGGATTTCTAAATTTAACTCATTACAGCCCAGCTGAATTTCTGAATTAATTTCAGAGACAAATAACCGTGACTTAGGCAGTTATAGGACAAAATCAATTAACTGTAAATAGGACCAATAAAAATGGCATGGAATCAATTTAATCTTCTCAACTTGGAGTGCAGATTGAGACACTTTTTTTTTTGGGAAATGGCCAATTTGGGAATTTGTTTTACTTGACTATACATATTTATAACAGAGGATTTGTTTTTCTTTCTCAGTTGGGGTGAGGGTTGAGGAAGGAGGGAGAAAAAGTGAATTTTCATTGAAAAAATTTAATTAAAAAAAGAAGTGGTATGGGTCAGTCAAGGCACCATGTGGTCTTAGGTAGTCATAGTGAAGCATTCTTAGCTTGCTAGCAACTTGCCCCAGTTAGTTTTGCAGCTACCAAAATCGAAATCTATTGATGACTCTGAGTATTTTGGTAATGTTAGAGAATATAATTTGGGAAGCTAGATTCTATTCCTTCCTTTTTTCCTGCTTCTGAGAAGTAGCAAAGGTTATGGAATACTTTTCCCAAACCCTCTCTTTCCTAAAATCCTGCTAGTCCTTTAAGGTTTGACTTAAAGCTATGACCTTCATGAAGTCTTTCCTGATCCTCCAAGTTGATAATCCTATTCCAACACTTCATATAACACTTTGCTTGGAACTCTTATGCTTTTCTCATATATTATTTGGTATCATGATTACATTGGAATATGTCAAATGCTCCTTATTAGAATGTAGGCTCCACAAGGGCTAGAATTATGCCTTAATCTTTGTATCTTCCTCAGTGGCCAGAAGTGTTTTACACATGGTAGTTGCTTAATGAATGTTTGTTGAATGAACAAATGTATTAAGAAAGGCATACTGGTGTTGTGGAGGCTAGTAAATGATTGAGACAAGGATGGGGGCAGGGTGGTATCTTTAAAAGGAATGAAATTCAAAGGAGTCGAATGATGGTGATAGAGTAAAAGTTGGAAATGGTAGTAAGGAGTATGTTAAGCCCTTCATTCCAGTCCTGAAAAGAGTCGTTGAGAGTGGAGAAGTTGTCACCAATGGAAATGGCTGTGAGGGATACTGTAACCTGAGAGGAAAATCCTGGTTTTAGGTGTTCAGTATCATTAACTATTGCAATAAGATTTGGGCCAGAGAGCAGAGGTTCACTGATAATTACCGCAATAAACTCTCTATGGTATCAAAGAACCAGAAAACAAGAAGGGGAAATTGATGAACAAATGAACAAATTATGGTACATGGATGTAACAAAATATTACTGTATATAAGAAATTATGAAAGGTACAGCAGTTTCAGAGAAACCTGGGAAGACTTTTATGATCAGATGTGGAGTGACCAGAACCAGGAGAATAATTTATACAATAACAACAACACTCTAAAGACAAAACTTTGAAAGACTTAAGAACTTTGGTCAATGCAATGAGTAACTATGACTCTGGGTAACCAATGACAATCCATACTGCTCATGTCCTGACATTTATATAGCTTCTTTGGGCTGTGATTATTGACTTCTTTTCTGCCCCCAAGACTGCCATTATTTATTTCAACCCAATTTCATATGAAAATGGTGGTGGTGGGGTTAAAGAGGAACTCATCATATAATTTGCCCAGTTTCACATCACTATGGATGATCCAAGGCCCTGGAAGGATTTGTACATTTTCTGAATTCTTTCTAGACTAAGTCCGTTAGATCAAGGTTTCCTAGGGAAAAATCATAGGATAATAACTTTACAACAGGAAGGAATCTCAGAGATCATCTAGTCTAATTCCTTCATTTTATAAATGAGGAAACTGAAGCCTAGAGAGGTGAAAGGACTTACTCAAAGTTACCCATGTAGTAAATGTCACAGTTAAGTCTTCTGACTCTAAAGCCAATGATCTTTCCACTGTACCAAGCTTTTCTAGGTAGGTTACTTCTGTGAAGGCTGTTTATGCTTTAAAACAGGTAGTTCCCTATCAGATGATCTGGCTCCCCCTCTTCAACCCCTCAACTCCCACCCCAAATAGTGCTTACTCACATCCTGGCTTTGGACCTTTGGGGATGAGTCACAGCTCTGCCTAGACAAGTCATGAGAACAAATTAGTACAGTAGCATCTTGGACAAGCCCAACTAAACAGGAAGTCCTTTGTGTTCTGCTTAAAGCCAGTCTCATTTAGTTGTGGTTCATTTGTTTCAGTTGTGTCCCACTCTTCATGACCCCATTGGGGTTTTCTTGTCAGAGATACTGGAGTGGTTTGCCATTTCCTTCTCTAGTTCATTTTAGAGATGAGGAAACTGAAGCAAATAGGGTTAAGTGACTTGCCCAGGGTCACACAGCTAGTAAGGTCTGCAGCCAGATTTGAACTCAGGAAGACGAGTCTTCCTGACTCTTGGCCTGGCACTCTACCCACTGTGCCACCTAGGGAATTGCCTAATTTGAAGGCTGCTGTTTTAAATGGTTAAATTGTATTTCACCTTTACATATAGCAGATGTCATAAGACAATGTCAGATATCCTTCTTGTGTTGGATCTGAGATCTTAGTTTTTCCTTTATACAAACTGAGAAACTGAGGAGCTAAGTAGGAAAAGGATATATTCCCCCCAAAAGCAGAACTTACAGTAGAATTAAATGTTCTATGTTCTTATTTCAATGTTCTCTTCCTAAGCCACCTCTGAGTGAGGAAGAGGAATTGGGGGTGGGGGTGGGGTATGAGGTTTCTGAGCTCCTCAGAACCAGAAGTTCTTGGGGACAATCTGATAGAACCAAAAGGGGACTTGCTCTCTCCTCCCACCCACCTCCTTCCAGGACCCCATTTCACCTTGATATCCTCCATTTTATCCTGCAGAGTTTCAGTGACCTTTTCCAACAGGTTACAGTGTTCCTGCACCTTTTCCAAATGCTGCTCGTAAGCCTTATTCTGTGAGAGAGAGAGGAATTCTGTACCATATATCCAGAGTGCTACAGAGTGGAAAAAACACTGATAGAGGGTTTAGAAGTCTGGTTTCTCCTCTTCCTCCCCTCCTCTTTGTCCTTCCCTTTCTTCTGCACAGTTTGTGCTCTGTGACTTTTTGGTCCTGTGATCTTGAGTAAGTCATTTACCATCTCCATAAAATATGAAGGAATTGAAATGTCCACTCTCTGAGTTCCCTTCCCCTTGCACTTCTGAAGCTTTACTTATGTATTCAATGTCAAGTACATCCTGGGCAAATACAGTGGTAGGCTTGCTCTCCTCTGCCTCTCCCGATCTCCCCCCCATCGCCCCGAATCTAGACCCCCCAGCCCTAGTGCTATCTCTCCTTTATCTTCTTAAAAGGGTGACTGCACATGAAACAAACAAGCTTCCTTCCCTCTAGTTAGGCTTCTGCCTATAGGGAATGCTCTCAACCTTTACCCACAAATACCCAAATCTCCAATTCCCAAACCAGAATAAGACCAGCCTTGAGGAAATTAATTCTAAGGCAATATTCATCATACTGTTGAACTATACAGGGAGAGGTACTATCTATATAAAGGAAGTTGCTTTTGGGTGACTGCCCCAACTTCTCTCTCCAACAGGAAATGCATATTAGCCGCCAAAAAGCATTTTTCCCATATGTCAAGCATTCCCCACCCTACCCTACCCCCACATCATATTATCAGAGGGTATCCTCTGTATTGGGGCACTAACCTTTTGTCCTGATTCCTGGAGAGTATTTATCTTGTCCCGCAGTCTGCTCATCTCACTGTCCAGCTGGGGTGTGAGCCCAAGAGAATTTAGAAATTGAAGATTTGCTAAAAGCAGAAATTAGGGATAGCTCTTGAGAGCAGGACAGAGGAAGACAGGGAGGGAAGGAAATCTGGAAGGGAGACTCCTTCAAGTCCATCTTGGAACTGGCACTCACCTAGACAGTTAGCCTGCTGCTGTACCTTATCTTCCAACTTGGCAAATTGTTCCTTTAGGCTATCGTATTCTGTTGGTAAATTGATCAACCTTCCCATAGACCTCTTTGTAGTTAGTCTTTTTCCCTCTGCACTCAAAGGTTGACCTGTCAGCAGCTGCTTAAGGGACTTGGTTGAGGATACAATTCCTTCAGAAACCTGAGAGGAAGACTTGACAGGGGAGTGAGGGGAGCTTACTGCCACTGGGGTGCCCTTACCAGCTGTGGTATCTAGGCTGGTGGAGTTCTCTGGAACAACACGGGTTTTTGATTCAGTAGTGGTGCCTAGGACCTCTAGCAAAGTTGGAACTGGAACTGGGGAATGGAGTTGGGTGGGCAAGCCTTTGCCAGTGAGGACTGCTAGTGCAACAAGGGTGGCTGGATCAACTGTGGAACCCAAAGCAGTGAGGCTGTCTGCATTGGTATCTATGCCCAGTTCATCAAGGGTGGTTTCATTAGGGATGATGCCCAAAGCAGCAAGGAAAGATGAAGCATTCCAACTGAGGTCTGGGGAAATACCCAGTGATAGTCCTGCAGTGGACGATGGACCAGTGGATGATGGTGGGCCAGCGGATGATGAATGGCCAGTGGATGATGGACCAATGAATGATCGGCCAGTGGTAGAGGCAGCAGTGGTGCCTGGCTCTCCAGCAGTCCCCAGTCCAGCACCTGGGACAGGAGTGATACCCATAGTGGCAAGGATATGTGGATCAGTGGTGATACCCATGGCGGTGAGGATGCCTGGATCAATGGCAATGCCCACGGAAGCAAGAGTTTCTGCATCAGTGGTGATGCCCATGGCAACAAGGGCTTTATCAAAAGGGGATGGCATAGTATCTGATCTTGGTTGGGCAGTCTTGACAGGTGGGATTCTGGTGCTTGGAGTTTTAGGAGTTTTAAGAGTTTTAGAAGCTTCTTCAGAGGTAACTTGAGGGGTAACTTCAGAGGTCTTAGCCTCAGCCTTCTCAGAAGTCTCTTTGGTGTCAGCCTATAATAGTGGCACCACAGGGTAGAGCAAAGTAGACCCAGGAAGAAAGGAGATGAGGGAAATAAATCTGTAATGAGGGAAGCTGAGCTAGACAAAACCCAGGCTGGGGCTTCAGGACATAAAAGGGACAGGGACAGACAACTTCTTTACCTTGACTGCCCTTGCCCTCTCCTTTGCCTGGCCCTCCATTCCTCTTTATTAGTGGTCCCCAGTGGATCCCTCTCAACCTTAATGCTGTAATCCACCATGTCCCTCCCATTCAGTTCTGGACCCTTGTATTCCAGAACCCAGTTCTTGCCTAATCTATATTTTATTTCATACCATATGATGCCAGTCACTCTTCCTCCCCTTGGCCTTTAACACTCCCCTGTGCTCCCCTTCCTGTCCCAAGTCCCAATCACTCACTTGATAATACATGGCATCCTGTAAGGTGGTCTGCTGTGCAATATTACTTTGACCAGGAGAAAGGCTAAGCTTATTCTAGTCAAGATTGGGGAGGAAGGATGCTATAAGATGCGGCAGTCACCTTCTTTGTAGTCTATTCAGGGGTTTGCAGCCAACATTATCATTCCTGGATCTGAATCTACCTATACCTTCCAGCCCACACCCCCTACATCCCACCTCCTCAGGCCTTGGGTAGTTTTCTTTTCCTCCTTGCCACAAGTAGAAAAGAATAAGGCCTGTTGGTTCTGGAACAACCTTTGTCTTCTTTCTACCCCTGTCCTTACCTAATCTATATATTATTTCATACCATATGATACCAGTTAATCCTCCTCCCAGCCCTTAACATCCTCCTGTGCTCTCCTCTCAAACACAAACCCCTATCCCAAGTCCCAGTCACTTACTTGGGAATACATGGCATCATGTAAGGTGGTCCACTGCATGATGTCACTTCCATCAGGGAAGGAGCAAAGCTTATTCTTGATATCTTCCTGTATAGGATTGGGGAGAAGGGGTTCTGTAAGGTGCAGCAGTCATGGTGGGGTCTTCTCTATAGTACACTCAGAAGCTCATAACAGACACTGTCATCCCTAAAACTGAATCTATCCAGACCTTCCACCTTATACCCTACCTCTTTAGGTCTTTAGGTGGTTTTCTTTTCTTCTTTGCCACAAGTAGGAAAAAAAAAAGGTGCTTTGGTTCTGGAGGGGAGTCTGGAAAGGAGGTAGGGAAAATTGTCCTAGAAATAGGATCTCACCATGTCAAGCTGAAGATGTTTCAACTGATCCTGCTGATCTTTCAGTTCTTCGGAGTGTTTATTTACTTCATCTAGGCTGATCTGTTAAACAAGGCAAAAGAATAGGCTCTAGTGATTCATCCTAGCCTTTCCTTCTTGATACGAATGGAATAGAGAGTTAGTTTCTACCCACCCCCACCGGCTTCCCAGCCTAGAATAGAACAGTTTGTTTTCTAATCATCATATGCTACTGGTTAGGGATTTGAGATAGAAGAGTAACCCTTTAGTCAGGAAGGCTTATCCTCAGACATTACCACTTCTGGCTTCACTCAGAAATTTTTACTGGTTTACCCTTAGTCCTTTCTTTCATCTAATTCCACCCCATCTTTCTTCCCAATTAAGTTCCAGCCAAGGACTGAGGAGCCTGCCTTAGAAGTAGAAAAAGTAAAAGCTGGCTTATGTGATGTGAGGGATAGCACAAGCCTTACCCCAAAATATTTCCAGTGACAAACTAACTGCGGTTAGTACCCTCAAAAGAAGGCTCCCTACATTCACCTCTGGTAATTTATATTGCCACTACTCAGATGAATAGTCGGTGGGACACTGACTGGAATCTAAGGAGTGCAACCTAGGAACCTCTCCACCCTAACCCCCTTCATTTCCCTTCAATTACTGTCTTTTGTAATGGGTCATCAACATATCACACAGTTACATAACAGGTTGCAGTTAGAGTTAATGTTTGCAAAATACTTTAGATAAGTAATCTCATTTGCTCTTTATAACAACCTTGGTAAGAAAATGTTATGACTGTCCTCATTTTGCAAATGAGGAAACTGCCCCCAGCCCCAGCCTCAGGTTGAGTGATTTGCCGGGATCCAGCAGTATTTGAAGTTATGTTTCCTTGACTCCAAGTCTAGTGCTCTATCCACGTGACATCTAGCTAATTAGGTAATAATAATAATGACTGATTGATTATTAATATGGTGCTGTAAGGCTATCTCTTACAGAAGGCTTTTCTTGATTCCCCCAAATTTTGAGCATTCCCCACCCCAACCCCAAAGTTGTCTTTTTATTTGTTCTGTTCATATTTTGTCAGGAAGCAAGATATAACCAATTCTGGAAAATGGGTGAAAATGGCCTGAGTGGCCTCAGGCCAGCCACAAAACCCCTAAATGCCTGGGGTCCCCCTCTAAGACCGTAAGCTGCAGAACAATTATGATTTGCATTGCGGGGAGGTTTCCCTGATTCCACGGACTTCACAGGTTTGGACCCTATATGTACATACATACATACATACATACATAAGTGGCAGAGACAGAATTTGTACCCAGGTCCTCTGCTTCCAAATTCAGGGCTCTTTCTATTGTAGCTCTGTGTGCATGTCATTTAATCCCCAGTAGAATGTAAGGCCTTTGAGGACAGACACTTTCCTTGTTGTCTTTGTGACCCCAATGCCTAGCATATGGCTAGCAATATAGTAAACAATCAACAAATGTTTTAATGAATTAAGGTTTGCAAAGCATTTGACATACAAGACCTTAATTTAGCCTCACAATAACCGAATGAGCTAAGTCTTTTGTTGTGTTTGTTTGGATCTATTTGTGTTTTTACTGGTATGGGGAATTTTTGGTATGGAAACTCCCTACACCTCTACACCAATGTACCGAGCAACCTGTCTCTAACTTAAGAGACTTTGAGAGGGGCAGCTAGGTGGTGCAGTGAATAGAGCATGTACCCTACAATCAGGAGGACCTGAGTTCAAATCCAACCTCAGACACTTAATAGGTATGTGACCCTGGGCAAGTTACTCACCCCTATTGCCCCCACCCTCCAAAAAAGAGGTTAAGTGACATGTTTTGTGGTTACACAGATAGTTTATGTCTGAGGCAGAAATTTAATTCAGGTCTTCCTGACCCAAAGGCCAGCCCTCCATCCACCATGCCAACACTGCCTCTATGAAAGGAGTACTATAGACATTCTTATCCCCATTTTACAAGTGAGGAAACTGAGGCTCTGTGAACATTAAGAGATTTATCCATGGTGACACAACCAGTGTCAGAGCTGGAATTCTCATTCGGGTTGCTACTGATTCCAGTTGCAGTATTCTTTCTAATATACCATGCTGTTCCATTTTTACAGTAGTATGAGGATACATATAACAGTCTTACATAGTGGCACAGTATTTGATAAATTTAAAGACACCAACTACTGAAGTAATTCCACTTTAAAAGAAATTAGGTTTAGAACAACATCTCAGACCATATACCAAGATAAATTCCAAATGGATCCATGACTTAAATGATATAAAATGATATAAAAGTTCATGTCACAAACAAATTACAAGAACAGGGAAGGAAATACCAATCACAACTACAGATAGAAGAATTCATAACCAAACAAGGAATAGAAAAGATCACAGAAGATTAATGAACAATTTTGATGAAATAAAATTGAGAGTTTTTTGCACAAACAAAATTAATGCAGTTAAAGTTAGAAGTGAAACAACAAATGGCGGTTAAAAATCTTTGTTTCAAATTTCTCCAATATGTAATAAGCTGATACCTAAGTTATATAGGGTGTCCCAAAAGTCTTAGTGCTATTTTAAGCTTTAATAGCTTAAATATTCTTAAAACTATTAAAGCTCAAAATTGTACTAAGATCTCTGGGGCATGGTGTAGGCAGAATGAATTCAACCATATAAGAAAATCTGCCAAATGATAAATGTTAAAAGGATAGTTAAACCGCTTATATAGTATGAGGAAATTTTCAGATACAAAATATACATATGTAGGTAAAGGTGCTCACCTTTTCCTTCAATTTGGTCACCTACTTCTTAAGGATGAATGGTCATCAGTGGAACTCTGTCCTTGTTTGGGTTCCATCTGGGACATTTGCTTCTTCCTTCTCCTTTTCCCATTTGAGTAAATAAAGGGGAAAATAAAGTATGGTGGCCTCCAGGGATGTTCACAGTGACTGATGGGGCTAATAACTAAGAGACTGAATAAGGAAGGGAAGAAGGACCTATGGTAAGAGAAGAGCACTCCCAAAGTTGTTGTTTTTGTTGTTGTTGTTCTCATTTTGCCATGGGGAGATGGCACTGAAAGACTAGTGGACTTGATAAAAATTCATCAGTCTAGCCTGAGAAACTGGGAGGTCTACGTTTGCCATGTTATGGACAAATGAAGAATAGAAAGAAAATAAGAGAAAGAAATGCTACCATCTCCCCACTTTTGGAGCAGCATGTTAACAAAGAGGCCATGAGAAAGATTTACAGAAAAGGGCCTCTACCAGGGAAACCCTCATATTAGGGACTGAAGTGACTCTGGAAATTTATTACATCTATCTTTGCCACTTATGGCTAGGTTATTCATTCTAGGTTTTCCAATGTGTTTTCCTTCTTTTAAATAAAACTTCCTCCTTCGCCTTCCCCACCCACCACTGCACTGTGAACTGTATGCTCACAAGTGGTGTAGTAGGTGTCATGTTGCTCTGGGGTATCATGTACATGTTTTCCTAAGTTTCTTAGGTGGGGACTATAAATCAAGAGAGTGAGAAACTCTTCTCAAAGTATACCTACATCTCCAATACAAAGGGTGCATATGAACAGTTCCTAGGGTTCAGGGCAAATTCACCCTCTTAGTAGTCATATTAACTCTGAGCTGAAAGTTGTCATGTATTCTTTGCTCAGAAATTCTTTGGCAAATCTTTCTCTCCTAGGATCTCCTTGCCTGAGAAGGTCCTTACTCAGAAGCTGTAGTCTTTTTTCTTGGCCTTTTTCTGCCTCAGCAGTGATGTTTTCACTGTTGCTCTCAGTACATGTTGCAACCTGGATTAAATCATTCCCCCCTTCTAAATAAGTTCTATTTTCTCTATTTTTGTCTACATGGTTAAACTTATGTAAAAGTTTTAAAAAAAGATTTACCATGAATGACATTGAAAAAATCAATGCAATCAATTTAGCTTACTTTGTAACTACACTTAAATTAAATTCAACCCATAAAATAATATAACCACTTTTTCAGACAATCTGTCCCTATCCAAATTCTTTATTTGTTCATCCATTTCCATTCACCTTTCCTCTGGCATGGTTCTAATTAGTGTGTATACTCTGTTTTTCTGCTTTTCTTTATTGCTTTGTATTGTTTAATAAAGGTGTTTCTATTATTCCTTATATTTTTCATATCTGTAAATCCTAAATTGCTTTGAAGGATTCCATTATACTAGTATACTATAATTTACCCAACTATTGCCTCATTCTTGTATATTAAGGTTTTTTCCAGTTTTTTTCCTTTATATTACATATAATACTACTATGAAAGTCTTTCTTCTCCCCCCTCCTCTTTCTTTCTCCCACTCTATCTCTTTTAATAACACTTCTAGGCTACATTCCCAATAAAGTATGTCGGTCCCACAGTGGAATTATGGCCAAAGGATATTATTATTTTTCTAATCTTTACTATGTGCTGACAATATGCTCTTCAAAACAATTCTACAAGTTTACAATTCCACCAGCAATTAACAAATACATTTGTTTCTCCATTCCCCTACCAGCACTGACTTTTCTGGCTTCTTATTAGTTTTGAAATTTGACGAGTATGAGGTAACCCTTTGATTTTGTTTTAAATGGCATTCTTTGGTTATCTGTGAGGTTAAAAATTCTATTTATTTATTTTATTTTCAGTTCCAAATTCTCTCTCTCCTTTACCCATTGAAAAGGCAAGAAATACAAAACCCATTACAAATATGAAGTCATGCAAAACAAATGTCCACATTAGCCATGTTCCACAAAAAAGCAAGAAAGAAGAAAGAAAAAAAACGCTTCAATCTGTATTTTCAGTCCATCAGCCTCTATCTAGAAGTGGATCAAATTTTCCATCATGAGTCCTTTGTGATGGGTGGGTCATTATGTTGACCTAGTCACAAAATCTTTCACAGTTGATTATCTTTACAATATTGTTACTGTGTAAATTGTTCACTTGGTTCTACTCACCTCACTTTGCATCATTCATACAAGCCTCCCCAGGCTTTTCTGAAACCATCCCCTTCACCATTTCTTAGAGCATAATAATCACATTCATTGTTCAGTCATTCCCCAATTGATGAGCATTCCCTCAGTTTCCAATTCTTTACCACCATAAAAGGAACTGCTATAAACATTTTTGTACATATGAGTCTTTTTCTTCTTTCTTTGATGTCTTTGAAGTATAAATCTAGTAGTAGTATTGCTGGAACAAAGGGTATGCACAGCTTAGTAGATTTGTGGGCATAGTTTCAAACTGCTTTCCAGAACGGTTGAACTAATTCACAGTCCTACCAACAGTGTATTAGTGAATTTCTTCTCTCACATCCTCTCTAGCATTTGTCATTTTCCTTTTCTGTCATCATAGCCAATCTGGTAGTTGTGAGGTGGTACTTCAGAGTTGTTTTAATTTACATTTCTCTAATTATTAGTGATTTAGAGCATTTTTCATATGCTAGTTTTGACAGCTTTTGATAACTATCAAAATATGATATGATAGCTTTTCCTATTGATAGCTTTGATTTCTTCCTCTGAAAAATGCTTGTTTGTATCCTGTGTCCATTTTTCAATTGAGGAATGGCTTAGTCTGAGGCTGAATATTTTAAAAAGTAATTATGTGTCATCTCCTATCAGAATATAAGCTCCTTGAAGGCAGGGACTGTTTTTCTTTTTGTTTATATATGTAACACTATAGCTCATGAGCCCCACCCAGTATTAGTTAGCCAGTTAATAGTTAGCCAGTACACATAATCACCTTTTAATAAAAGCATAGGAATAAGAGAAGGCATAGGAATGACTGGCTATAAAAATTCCTTCCAATAAGCCCAGTATACATTCTCCTATTAATATGCTACAGTATTTGTGGAAAGAATGAGTACAGAGTAAGACACGTATTTTGGGAACACATGTGGACAAGGCTACTCACTGTTCTAGTACTGCAGGGCTCAGACCACACACCCTTTAAGGACCCAATACCAAAGAGGAAATTGGGGGAATATCCCAGAGAGGGTGTTACAGGAATTAAGGATTTCTAGGTTGCCTCTAATAATTCCTTCTATTTGTTGAATAGAAAAAAGTCACAAAGTACTTATTCCATATTTTTTATAGGTTTTTTAAAAATGTCTAAGTCTACCATACAGGTAGAATTTTCACTGACCTATATGTTATGAAATGCGAGTTTAAATCCACTTCCTGAAAAAAATTACTAACCAATTTTAACAAATCCTTTGTTGACTAATCTTTTCCCCAATTTTTACTCTCTTTAGGTTTGTCAAATAGTAACTGTCACATATATTTGGGTAGATATCTGATATCCTTATTCTGTTTCACTGATCTACTTCTATTTCCCCATTACCAGAAAGCTTTAAAGATAATCATTTTGTAATGGATTTAGTGTAAGACCACTTTCATTGGCATTTTTTCATCATACCTCTCTTATCCCTTGATTTTTCCACATATAAATTTCATTATATTTTTTGTTCAAATCCTTTGTTTCTTCATAGAACTACTCTGTAATATTTAATGTTTACTTACATACATGCATATAAATAAAAGGAAATAAACTCCTTGAGGATAGTGAATGTTTCACTTTGGTTTTGTATCTATCTACAATGCTTAGCCCAGTGTTTGTCATATAGTAGGCACTTAATAAATGATCATAAAACTGAATTGGTATTTTTATTGATGATGCATTAAACAAATAGATTTATGGAATATTGTAATTTTTATTATATTAATATGACCCATGACCTATTCATGAATATTGAATGTCCATTCAATTATTTAGGTCTTCCTTTATTTCAGCCATTTTAATTTTATAGTTGTCCACATATGTATGTATATATTTTTCTAGGTAGGATATTTCCCCATTTGTTGTTGTTACAGTTATAACTTTTACTGTAAATGGAATGTCTTTTTGTGATGTTTTCTTAATCTTTATTAACAAGTAATCTTGTATCCTGCAACCACTAATATTTTGATTGAGACAGTTGAATTTTATATTATTATATATTATTATATCATCTGCAAATAATGATATTTTGGCTTTTCCATTTTCAATGTTAATCATTCTAATTTAGTTTTCCTGTCTTACCATAATTGTTTCTAGTCCTACATTTTGCATCTTGTTGATGTCTATATTCTTATCAATCATACCTGTCTTTTTATAAAATCAATACCTTCAAAACTCAAATTAACATATATACTCATCAACATGTATAAGATTACTTTTCTTGTCTAATAGGTATGATTACAATACATTTGTAACTTGTAAATTCTCACCAGGTACTAAAGTATTACATCCAGAAAATCACCATTTAAATACCAGTATATTGCCTTAGCAGTAAAAGAAAGAGCAGGGTCCTAGCCCTCTCCCATTAGGATCAGTCTTTTCTCACTTTGGGAAACAGAAAGTCATAGTCCTAATAGGATGGATGGGACAGACACAAATTTTATGATAGTGTGGGGAAAGTCTGTTACCTGGGATACTAGACAGCCAGAAAAGCAGTATGAAGGCACTAGAATCAATCAACTAACAAGTACTTATTAAGTATCTACTGTATGTCCAGGGTCACAATGTCAGAAATGAAGTAGTCCATTTTAAGAGGGGATTATTTTCCATTGAAGGAGATTATTTTCCACTGACAGGGAATAGAGAAAGGTCTAGATGAGTGCTAAAGACAAACTTTGCCTGACTTTACAATTTTGTCTAGGTGCCTCTCACTAATCTCTTCCAGGTTTTAAGGCATGGACAGGAGGCAGAGGGGATTTCAGCAAAGTCTGCCAAACCTAGCAAGGGACTGCTCCCTAGGAGATGGGCAAGGTGCTGTCACATTGTTGTTATTATTGTTTGTTCTTCATTTTTGAAGTGGACCATGACATCAGGAAGGTGACGCCAAGACTTGCAAATGAATTGGATTTAAGTGAGGGAGAGCTGTGCAAGGTCACCAGCTCCACCTTCTCCTCTGGAATCATCTGGGTCCAGTGGTGAGATACAGATCAGGATGACTGGAGAAAGCCCCGAATTCAGTGGAGACCTTGGCATTTTTAAGCTAAGGTCATTCCAAGTTCTCACTCTGACTGAGAAAACACCCAGTGATTAAGGCTGGTTAAGAAATGAGCCAAGGAATAGCCCCTTTTATCTAACAGAAAAAATCAACTTGGAAGGGGAAGACTTTCAGGGTTTCTGGCTAAAACAGAAACCATTTACACTCATTCTGAGCCATCAAGGCCACTAGGACCAAACACTGGTCATAGTATCAAAGCAAACAATGACCACTAAGTGGTGCTTGGGATGGGACCTATTATTATTGGCCAAGCAATAAGAGCCAGAGTGAACTGGGTTTAAGGCATGGTCTTTAAGAAAGAAATTTAGTCAGTAAACCCCAAGACATCTTGTTAGGTTTCAGCCAACAAAATTTACATTCCTTTGGGCAGAGCACCTGCAGGTAAGGGCATGACACCCCATGTGGACAGAGGGAGAGGAAGAAGGGGAGGGAAGGGAAGGGAGAGGAGAGAGAGGAGAAGAAAGGAGAGGAAAAGAGAGAGGAGAGGAGAGGAAGGAGCTGAGTTGCTCAACTGAAACTGGCCAGTTGGGTCCCCAATGGGGCAGCTCGGACTACTCATAGGTTGTTTGTCCTTCATTCTAGAAGAAGACCATAACATCAGGAAGGTGAATTGGATTTAAGTGAGGGAGGGCTATACAGGGTCACCAGCCTCACTTTCTCTTCTGGAGCCATCTGGATCCAGTGGCAAGATATACATCAGGATGACTAGAGATGACCCTGTGCTATCATGTGGACTGGCTAAATAGAAACAACTACTAAGAGTACCAGAGTGTTCAATAGGAAAAAGGTCAGGTATCTAGGTCAAAACAAAACCCTCCTCCCTTTGCTTTGGTGCAATGGCTAGAGTGCTAGACTTGGAATCAGGAAGATCTGAATTCAAATCCTGTCACACACACTTACTAGCTACATGATCCCAGGCAAGTCGCTTATCTTCTCTCTGCCTCAGTTTCCTCATCAGCAAAACAGGGACAATAAAGCACTTACCTTTCAGGGTTGTTGTGAGGATGAGATGAGGTAGCATAAAATGCTTCGGAAACCTTACAGTTCTACATCAGTACTAGCTATTACTATCGAAAACTTACCTGTCCTGTGATCCATCCTGATAGGACTCTTGCTTTCTGGCAAAGGATAATGACAGATGACAAGACTCCAGGCCCTTTCCTTCTCTTTGTAGTACTCTATTAGCATTTAAGAACAGAAGTTCCCAGACAGGACCCCCCCCCTCCCCACCGAAGTCCTACTCCAAGGGGTAAGAGGTACTTTTAGTTGGGATAGAAGACACCAGGGAGATTTTTACCTTGTCAACCTTTTCCTTCAGTTGTTCCATTTCCATCCTGAAGTAATCTGTGTCTGACTGAAGGGTATAAATAGTGGTGAGCAGTTCCTGCAGTGTCTGCATGGCCTGAAGAAGAGGGTGGTAAAAAGAAAAAAGGGGAGAGAGTCCACTTTATATGACAGACAGGGGAGGAGGCCAAAGAAGGTCGACAACGCTTACTGAGGAAAGAGTGAGTACAGGTAGGTGATCTGACTGCTCCAAAACCACTAGGGTTCTGAGAGCAAGATTCGAAGTGGGTGATGTCCAGGAGTCACTGATAGATAACTGAAGCCCATTCTCAGTCACTTAGTAGCTCATGAGTAAGTTACTTAACCCCTCTCAGGCTCTGCTTCTTCATCTGTGGGTAGGGGATGTGGTATGCCATGTTTTGCATACATAGGTGATGTGTTTCTACATAGGTCTGATGAGATGTGTCTTGCAGGGGTGCATGAATGGACATCTTTAGAATCTCCTCCACTCACCCTTGTCCAAGACAAAATGATTCCTGACAGGAGGGGAAGCAGGAGTTCGGGGTTAGAGGCTAACCACTTTGTTCTTCTCAGGGAAAGAGTAAATATCATATCTATCCACCTCCCTAAATATTATTCTAGGGGAGATAATCTTTAGGCCCAAGCTTGGCTCCTAATTTATATGCCTTAACAAGGAAAGAATGGCTCAATCTCTATATCCAAAGCTTAACTCCCTTTCCATCAAATGCTGGTTCCACAAAAAACACATATAGAAAACAGCAAATAAAACCATTTCTCCAAGCTTATAGCAAACAAAAATCAGATATACAAATGAGAATTGTACGAGACAATAGAATAAATGAACTCTTTAATTGGGAGCAAGATATCTTGGCTCAACGAAGAGAGAGAAGGAGTCCCTGATCCCACCCAAAGGGAGACAACCCAAGGACTCTACTGGAGTAAGCTGGGGATGGAGACATGATCGAGGTGTCAGCTCCTCTTATACATCAGCTTCTTCCCAGAGTCATCCTCTCTTCAGAGATCTAAAGAGTGTCTGGAGCTACATGTCTTCTCTTTCAAAGCTGGGTGCTAGAAGCCCAAGATCTCTCTTCTCTCTCAAAACTCAGGTGCAGAGCATAGAGTGATCAGTCTCTACCAATGAAAGCATTCTTATTCAAATAGTCTTTGAGCCATGGATTAGATGTAAGACGGAGATAATACTAACATCTATCTCACAGGGTTGTTGTGAGATTAAGTATGTAAAGTATACTTTGCAAAATTTTTAAGTGTTATTGTTATTGTTGTTTTTGTTATTATCTCATAGGTGGTATGACAGACAAATCAGGCAGATTGGGCTGGAGTAGGATGGAGAAGATGTGGTTTTCTGGAGAGTTAAGTTTGCCCAGGGATGCTGAATCAGTAGACCAGATGATTTCAAAACTTTATCTGTTTGCCTATCACACTTCCTCACCCCTGATTTATCAGGATTACTAGTGGGGAGAGGCCAAAAACAAGTAACAACATCCCCTGCCCAAACTCACTGAAGGTAATTCAGCATTAACTCCCTTTCTAACTCCAAAGGATCGTAAGATGAGGTAGTTAAGTGGTACATAGGAAAGAGTGCTGGACTTGGGGTCAGGAAGGTCGGGGTTCAAATCCCACCTCAGACATTTACTGGGCAAGTCACTTAATGGATGTTTGCCTCAGTTTCCTCATCTGTAAAATGGGGATAATAATAGCATCTACCTCCCAAGATTGTGGTGAGAATCAAATGAGGTAACATGTAAAGTGTTTTGTAAACCTTAAAGTGATATATAAATGTTAACTATTATTATTATTGCAGGAAAATGAAAATCAGTTATTCTTTACAAAAAAGGTTAGGGACTCCTGTAGTAAACAGTCAATTAGATAAAATCAAAAGGAAAGAAACTCTCCTAATTCTTAATTCCATAAATAAACAAAAATGTATCAATAGCAAAGAGTTGCCCTCTGTGTCTCTTACAACACTCTCCTGGACTGCTTTGCCAATCAGGCTCCCATGGAGGCTTTGTGAGTCTACGTACCGTGTATGTTTCATGGTAAAGAGAGGCCCTGGAGCTTTAGGGAGCTAAGGAGGATTTCTTATATTACACACAGTTGCCATGTCTGGGGTAGCTAGAATCTCTACATGTCCAGACTTGCAGCAGTTCTCTTTCTTAAGAGTGTCTTGGGCCTCAACAATGCTGAAAGGCAGGTCAGAGGAAGGATGAGAGTGGGAGCACTGCAACACCTGGGAGCTGGGCCTCAACCTTCCCTCCCTGCCAACCACAATCCCCTACCAAACATTAACAACAGAAACCATGTAAAAAATCTACAGTGATTGTTAGCTCTGATATTACATGACATACCAGGGTAACTCAAATTATTTTAAAGGGTATCAAAAAGGAAATTGTGAAGATGCTAACAGAAAAAATTTCCCTAGCACATAGCACAGTGCCTGGCACAGGGTAAATGCTTAATAAATGCTGTTGGCTAGTTAATATTTGTTGACTGACAATTTCTATGTGGAAGAAAAGAGAAATTGTCTAAGAGATTCATGAGGATGCATAGGAAACTTAACAACCAACTCAGCATTTTAAAGATAGGTACAGAAGATGAAAGCAAGAGCAGGTAATAGAGGATGAATATAAAAAAGCATGGCATGATCCTGTAAGAATAGTGCTAGAGGTGTTAAATCTTAGTATGAACTAAATCTGAGGAGAAAAGCTAAGTACAAAAAAAGAGAGATTTGGGTTTTTTTTTAAAGTGATAGTGGGAAAAGAGAAGGATCACAGAAGCCATAGGATTACTAGAAGTAGATGGGATGATAATAAATGATAGCACAGAGAAGCCAGAGCTGTTCATTTCTTATCTTTATTTCACTTCTGTTTTCTCTGCTAAAGAAAATAATCTTTGGACTGGAGAGAACAAAAATGACTAATAGTGTACTGATAGCTGAGTAAGGAGAGAGCCAGAAAGTCATCTGGCCCAGAGGCATTACATCCTTGAGTGCTGAAAAAATAGGCAGATGGGTTGCTAGCAGAGCCATGATCAATTATCTTTGAAAAATCACGGAGAATGGGTGATGTACCACAGGACAGGAACAAGGCCAATGATCTGATTTTCCAAAAGAGAAAGAGAATAAACTCTGCAAACTATAGGCCAGTGAGTTTCACTTGACAAAATTCAAAAATATTACAAAAGGGATGCATCTTGAATACCCAGGAAAGGAAGCAGTCACCATAAAAAGTCACTGAATCTTCTTCAAGAATGGGACATGTCATACTAATCCTTTTTCTTATTTTGATAGGATTACTTAACTATTGGATGAGGGTAGATATGTTCTAGATTTTAACAAAGCATTTGATAAAGTCTTTCATGCTATTCTTGTGGAAAAGAAAGAGGTGTGTGCTAGATTAAGTTACTTTTAGCAAATTCAGAAATTTGCACTGAAACTCAAAGAAGAGAACAAGAAAGCATGATAAGGAGACAGCAAGAAAGCTCCCAGCTCCCTTTGATGAATTAATCACCTATCACAGGTGTGCTACATAGATCTTGGGGTAATGAAAGGCTTGAATGGTTAAATGGCCTGTATCAAAGGGTAATCATTAATGGTTCCATGTCAACTTAGTGGGAGGTCTCCACTGGAGTGTCTCAGGAATGTATGTTTGACCTTATGTTGTTCAATGTTTTAAATCAATGACATGGAAGAAGGCATGCTAGTGAAATGTGTGGATGACATGAGGCTGGAAAAACTAACAAACTGGAGGAACAGAGTTTGAATGCAGAATGGTTTTGATAGGTTAGAGCATTAGGCTAAAGCTAAATCAAATAATTTGAGATTGAATGGAGATAAATGGAAGGTCTCAGATTTGAGTTCTAAACATCAACTTCATAAGTATAGACTGAGGGAGGCATGTTAAAAAGCAGTTTGCCTGAAAGATACTGGGGGCTTTAGCTGATTAGAAGCTCAATATGTGTCAACAATGTGATATGGCAGCCAAGAAAAGCTTTTGTGATGTTAGGCTGCACTAAAAAAAGGCAGAGCATGCAGGAGCTAATAATTCTACCATATTTTGTTCTAGTTAAACCATTCCTGAAGTACTGTGTTCAGTTATGGGTGCCACATTTTAGGAAGTATGCTGAAAAGCTAGAGGGTCCAGAGGAAGATACTCAAGATGGTGAAAGGCTTTGAGGTTATGCCACATGAAGAACTCAGGATGTTTAACCTAGAAAAGAGAAGACTTGGGGGGCACACGATGGATATCTTCACTTTAATTAAAGGTCTGGAAGGATTAGAATTTTTCTTTTTTTTAAATAAATTTTCATTGCTATCATTTGTCTTTTGTATCACCAAAAATTTCCCCAGTAATCTTCCTCTCCCTACTCCCAGACAAATAGGATTAGACTTTTTTTCTGTGTGGTCCTAGAAGGTAGAAGTAGGAACAATGGATAGAAATTGGAAGGAGACAAATTTAGGTTTAATATCAGTCAAAGCACCCCAACAATCACAGCTGTTCAAAATTCTGAGTGTATGAGTTGCTGCTTCAGGACATGATGGATTCTCCCTCACTGGTAATCTCAAAGCAGAGGCTGAATGGTCACTTGTATAAGTTGTAGAAGGGATTTTTTTTTCAGGTCTCAGTAAGACTGAATGACTGTTGAAGTGCCTTCTAATTCTAAAATTCTATGATTCTGTGAAAATATGTTCTCATTGGCTAGGAAACACATACATCTAACCAAACTTATTCAACAAACTTGGAATCTAGCAACCATGACAACACCCTTCGAAGTGAATGTTAGCAACCTCAACCAAAGTACTTACAGGGGCAATATTCATTAACAATAAAGCATTCCTCTTCTTGACTAATGGCCCTCTTGAGGGCTATGCAACCATGTCCAAGCTTGTCGACTTGACTTTTTCCTGAGTTGTTTTGTTTTTCTGTTCTAGTTGCCATCAGGTAAATGGTCTACCCATGTCTCACCTAATCAGCCATGGCAGTTGAGGCCCCTTTTAGGAAGGCAGGGGAAGGAGGGCAGCCTAGGTGCTTAAAGACACTAATGGCCTCAGCTTATTCATAGGCATATTTAAATGCTATCCAGCTAAGTCTTGCACATTTCGAGATGTACGACAAGTATGCTTTCTGGAGTCATATCAAATTAAAGCTCTTCTGACTGACTTTCAGGGGCCATTATAACATAATTCCCTCAACTCTTTCACTTATGGAGCCACAATATCTTCTACTCCCCAACACAAATCCTCTACTCTAGTAGGCTCCATCTTTTCATTGTCTCAGGAACATGCTGTGATCCATACAGATCCCCTCAAAGCTGAACCAAAACTATATCAACTTCCAGGTGTTTTTCTGTCCTCAGGGTAAGCAATTTTTGATACTCTATTTCTGTAGTAAGACCAATGGGGTTACATCTTAAGAGAAAGTATTTAGGATACTCTCACTTCCTATAGTACTTGCTTCTTATACCACTTATTTTATTTTTTAATCACATAATGCCTCCTCAATGACATCATTAAGTTCCTTGTGAGTAAAAGAAATGTTATACTTTTTTATATCCTCCAAAATGCTTAGTACAGTAATAGGCACACATCCAGGTATTAGAATTAATGTTGTCTTCTCTCTAGAAGTAAATAGAAATGGCTGCCCTTATGGTCTTTAATAACATACAGAAAAGCTGTTGAGTATAACTGGATTGACAAAAATCCCTAAGTTAATCAGAACTACCATTACTAATACTACTGTTGCTATTGTTGTTGTTATTTGTCCTTCATCCTTGAAGAGGACCATAACATCAGGAAGGTGATGCCATGACTTGCAAGCAAAGTGGATTTAAGTGAGGTAGGTCTGTGCAAAGTCACCAGCCTTACATTCTCCTCTGGAGCCATCTGGGCCCATTGGTAATCAGGACAACTTGAGATGGCCCAGAATGCAGTGAGAAACCTTGGCCTTTTTAAGAAGCTAAGGTATTTCCCAGGTCTTAGTTTGACTGAGGCAATGCCCATTCAGTGGGCATTAATAGGCTAGGTAAGGAATGAGGCAAAGAATAGCCTCTTTTACCTAGTCAAAAAAAAAAAAAATCAATCTGGGAGGGGAAGACCCTCAGGGTTTCTGGCCAAAACAGAAACTATTGCTAATCCACACTCTCTGAACCAGCTGAGCTCAAACAATGAGCAAATGAAGCTGGGCATATTATTGGCCAATTAAGAGTCAGAGTGATTTGGGGTTTAAGGCACAGTCCTTAGAAAAGAAATCTAGCCATAAACCCCAAGATATGTGTGTGCTCTGCCCAAAGGAACAGAAATTTTGACCATGACATATGAGGATTAGCTGAAAGAATAGGAGATGTTTAGTCTGGAGCCCACAACACTATCCATTATGGCTCAAACTAGATATTTTAAAATGTAACTGGGGAATATTTAACAAATTAAATAAAAATATAATAAACACAGATAATATTACATTTTAAAACAATGTCAATATGTGGCCCACAGGGATCTTATACATGTATTAGTAGCTCCTGTTTCTATTTGAGTTTGACACTACTGAACTACAGCATAACTTTGACCACAGTCACTGGCTTGCTGAAAAATCTTCAAGACATTTCCACACCTACCAAATAAAACACTGATTCCACAACCTGGTAACTTAAGGCTCTGTAAACTGGCTCCAACCTACCATTCTAGCCTCTCTCACACAATTCTTCATGTCCTCTCTGTTCCAACCAAACTGAAACTGCTTAGTAAACCATTCTTTCTTCAAGTTCTACCCTCTCCCAAATCAATGCAATCCTCCATACCTAGAATGGACTCCCCATTCCCATCTTTGCCTCTATTTCTCTCCAAGGCTGCATTCAGTTGCCAGTTCTAAAAATTCTTCCCTGATCCCCCTAGTTGAAAGTGATTTCTCCCTTCTCAAATTTCTAATAGCACTTGCCTGGACTTTTCCTTTGTACTTTTCACATTCTGCTCAGTTCATAGTTATTTGTATGCTATCTTTTCCTTCCTACCAGGTTGTAAGTTCTGTGACAATAGGGACTGTGGTTTATTTCTATATACTTGCACAGAGGAATAAGAGGTAGCATTTACATAGTGTTTTCAGGTTTACTAAGCACTTACAGATGTAATTTCATTTAATCCTCATAATAACCCTGTGAGTTAGGTACAATTATTCTTCTCATTTTACAGTTGAGGAAACTGAGGGTGACAGAGGTTAAGTGACTTGTCCTAGGTCACATAGCTAGTAAATACCTCAGGCCAGATTGGAACTCAGGTCTTCTTAATTCCAATTCCAACACTATATCCAACTGTGTCACCCAGTAGATGATTGATACATGGGTACTGAACTGATTTATAACAGGGGAAGAAAGGAGAGGGGGAAAAAAAACTTTCAGGGGAGAGATGTTCTTACCTTTGTCATTCCTTCTTCATTCCCTTCTACCTTTTTTTGGAGCTTCAACATCTGCCACATATCTTGGGCTGGTTTTTTGAAGGGCAGACTGCTTTCCAGCAGCTGCTCAGTAGAGGGCAGCGCCTCCAGAAAGGCCATCTGGCTTTCCACTACAGATAGTCGCTGGCCAAAGGTGTTGATGATCCTATCGAATGGTGTATGGTATAATATATCCTCTTCACTCTCTTCTGACTTCTTCCCAGGCTTCTTCCCAGATGTAACCTGAAAGGGGCTACATGGAAGGTAGTCCTTCTCACTCCCTGGAAGAACCTGCGTCTGCTCTTCCAGGTTGAGGTGTTCCATGATGCTATGCAGCAGGATATGCAGGGCATTGAAATTCACCACCACCCCTGGGTCTGGCGTGCCTATTGCAAGGTTCAGGAGGTCCTTGAATTTAATGGTAAAGCTCATTCTGTCCCTGCTTTGAAGGGAGCTGCTTACTCCAAATGCTCTGGGCAGCCTCAGTGGGAGTCTGTTAACTCTCACCTATTCTTGTTGTCCTGTAAAGCCAGGGTAACATACCCTTGGAGGTTTCTGGGGTTAGTGAGCTTTAGCCATTACTGAGAGGAAGTTTCTGCATGTTGCTAGGATACCAAGGAACACTGAGAAATCTACAAGACAGCCCAGGAAGCCTTTACAGGTTGCATGCCAATTGGAGCACTGGATTGGAAATCAGGAAGCCTCAATCCTCCTCTTGACTCTGCTGCCAACTCCCTGAGTGACCTTGGGAAACTCATTTAATCCCTAGAGGCCTCAAATTGTTCATCTGTAAAATGTTAAGGTGGTATTAGGTGCATCTTTAGTGCCTTTTTAACCCTAACATTCCATGATTCTAAGTACACCATAAAGGTCATAATGACACAGAACTGAGAGAGATCTCTAGAATGGCCACAAGAAAGTACATCTTAGAACAAGGAAAGCCTGAATTTATGGGAAAATAGATGATGGGAAAATAACCTGATAAGATTTCTAGGGAACCTATAAATTTAATTACAGAGTCCTATCCTAGGAGAACTGAGAGATTCAGAAGGAAACAAAAATATGACATTTCATACTTACATACATAATACATATGTATGTATATGTATCTATATACTCTCTCAAAAATATATGTATGTATATGTGTGTGCATACACACATACTCCTAAAACTGAACTTCCTCATCACTATTGGGAGGGTGATGCACCTGTTCAACAGTTGAAATGATTTGAAGCGATTTTTAAAAACAGTCTTCTTTCCATTCCCTAGCTTCCTTTTTTTTTTTTTTAAAAGCTCTTCCCCTTGAATAATTGACCATTAAAACTACTAACAAAACACATTTTCTACTTTAAAAGCAGCACTGGACCCACAGTACACAGTATTATGTCCATAGTAAGTGCTTTAAAAATGCATGTTGATTTAATAAATGCTTATCAACTCAGCTGTTGTTGAAGGGTAGGGCCAGCCTTTAACTCACTTTGAGAATGCCCAAGCATACCCATCATTAGTTATTCTTCATTGTTGGTAGTTGCCTATCTTGGGGCATGAGAATGGTACACAGAGAGAGCTAGGTAGCCCAGCTAGAGTTGGAGTCAGGAAGATGAGTTCAGATCCAGACTCAGACACTTGCTATTTGTGTGACCCTGGACAAGTCATTTAAACTCTGTATGCCTCAGTTTCCTCATCTACAAAATGAGGATAATAATAGTACCTCTCTCCCTTCCAGGGTTGTTGTAAAGATCAAATGAGACATTTCTAAAGGTCTTTGTAAACTTTAATGTATATAAATGTTATTTATGATGATGACAGTCTATTTCCTCTAGGGGAGGAGAACTAAATACATTATTGTTATTATTATTATTATTATCATTTTGAGGCAATTGGGGTTAAGAGACTTGCCCTCACATAATTAGTAAGTATCTGAGGCCAGATTTGAGCTCAGGTCCTCCTGACTCCAGGGCTGGTGCTTTATCTACTGCATCACCTAGCTGCTTCTTAAACATATTATTTAATGGCATAGAACCCTCACTTTTAGTTTGGAAGAGTATGACTTTTATAAGATCCTCCACATTGATACAAACACATGATAGCATATGTTTTTATTTTTTTTGACTAGATTTTCTTAATGTATAGTAGTCTCCCAAATTTTTTGGTCATGTATCCTAATCAGTAAAATAATTTTGAGCATACTACCCCAATATACATATAAACTTATTTATAAATTATATTATGTTCTTTATTATATTGTACATGATGTATGTTATATATACATTATAAATGTTCACAATTAACATTACAAATGTACACATAATAATGTACATTATAAAAGAAACATAAAAAGGAGAAATTTTAAAAGGATAAGATAACATTCAAATAATATTTAATCCTAGAGTCAATAGGAAGCCACTAACATTTATCAAGTAAAAGAGTAACTCGGTATGCTGGCAAATGTTTAACAACCACCTCTCTTAATATGCCCTTTTAAATTTAATCTGCATTATTTCTCTATGACTTTCTTAAGTCCAGACAATCAACAAAACAAGAAATCAAGCCCTGATTTATAGCATTGTCAATTTCTGACATGCACAATGAAAATTTAACAATTGGCTCCAGCATACCGACCTCTGGCTCAGACTTGGGCTTTAGGAAAATCTTAGGCAGCTGGGTGAAGGTCAGATTGGAGTGGGGAGAGCTTTGAAGTAGAGAGACCAATTAGGAATAGTCCAGTTTAAAGGTGATAAGGGCCTGAACTAGGGTGGTGACTGTGTGAGCAGAAAGGAGACAGATGGAAGAGGTGTTGTGGAGATAGACTTGGTGACTGATTGGATCTGTGAGATGAGAGAGAGTAAGGAGATGTGGAGGCTGACATCAAAGTGGGGAACATGGGTCCCTGGAAGTGTCCACAGCAATAATGAGGAAGTTTAGAAGAAGGGCTTATGGGGGGGTCGGTGAGATAATGTAATGAGATCTGTGATAAAGCTCCTAACCCTTTGATGCCTTTTCATTCAGTGTGTGGCTCCTTCTGTCCCACCCAAAATGAAAAGGAAAGAGAGGGCTCTTACTTCTAGGTCATTCCATGGCACACAGAGTCTACCTTCCAAGAGATGCTTGCCACAGCTCCAGGTAACCTTTGAGCCAGGAGGTAGGGACACATTTTTCAAACGACACCAGAGCTGCTGCTGCTTTGGGTGAGTGGTTACTTATTAGGTTATAAGTACCCTAAGGGGTCGATGCCAGGGTCAGAAGTGCGGATACTAGGAGCTTATACAACAGAGGGATGGAGGAATAATTGGTGAAGAAGAGTATTGTGTTGGAGACAAGACTTACAATTGGTTATTGTGGAGATGATGGTCTGTGATATATCATCCCATTTACCTTGGGGTCAGGCCCAAACCACATTTTGAAGACCACAGGCATAAAGAATGTTCAGAGTGGAAACTCATTCTACTGGTACAAACTAGTCCTGATCTACAATTTATAGTCTTAGTGGATTGCTTGGGAACACTGAAGGTTAAATCACTTGCCTGGTGTCACATAGGTAATATGTGACACATAGATTGATAGCACGAGAACCAAGATCTTCCTGATTCTAAGCACAGCTCTTTATCAACGAGGTCATGCTTCCTTTCTATAGATATTCACAAAATGCCCAAACTGCCTAAACCATATCTATTTCTTATGTGCATTCATGCTTATAAAGCAATAACCCTTAAGGGTTGACAGGAAGGGGCAAGTCTGAACAAAACGATTCCAAAATATCAAAGTAAGGTAGAGAAAATTTTATGGATTTACTTCCAATTCCATTTTCCTTGAAAGCCAAATCATAATTTTATATTATAAACTTTAATCACAATTTATGTTATAGAAGAACAAATGAAAGATGATAGGATAATGACAATAAATGCTTATTGACTACTGACTGATTGATTGACACAAACAATCAATGAGCTTACAATGTTGTGCTAAGCGCTGAGGATTCAAAGAAAGGTAAAACCACAAAAACAATCTCTGGCCTTAAGAAGTTCACATCTTAGTGGAGAAGACAACATGTAAATAAACAGGTACATATAAAATACATGGAGATTAGAAGAAAGATAACCAACCTTCATGGGTTCTCAATCTGATGTCATGAGCTTTTAAAAATGTTTTGATAACCATATTTCAATATACATAATTGGTTTCTTTTTAAATCTTATGTATTTTATTTTATGGATTTAAAAATTGATATTCTAAGAAGGGGTCCATAGGCTTCACCAGACTATCAAAGGGGTCTATGACACAAAAAAAGGTTAAGAACTCCTACCTTAAAGGGAAGGCTCAATCAAGTAATCAGAATTTATTAAGCACATACTTTATAAAGTCTGGCATAGTATTGGGAGTGAAAGTTGGGTGATGGAAAATGTGTGCATATGTGTATGTGTATGTGTGTGTGTGTGTGTGTGTGTGTGCGCGCGCGCGCACATGTGAGTAGATACAAAGATGAAAGTTAAACAGTCCCTGTCTCTAGAAACATTAATAAATAATAGATACATAGTGACATGGGGGTGAAGATACTAATGGTGGAGGGAGGGGGGGCACCATGGAAAAACCCTCTTGTAGAAGAAGGTGGAGCCTGAGCTAAGCCTTTAATGAAACTAGGCAATATGATTGGGTGTCAGGACCTTTCCTTCTTTCCCCAAAATGAATCCGGAAGGCATCCCCTGAGGGATGATAGATAATTTAGAGAATAATGCTTCTGTGGGACTAGTAATTAGCAGCAATAACTAATAACCTAGGGTGATTTGAATAATCCCATTAGTTACCTAAGAGATATTCCTCAAATTACCTTTTGGATTTTACCTTTGAATAGAGGAAGAGTTCATGACTTAACAAGTGATAGATGATCACAGAAAATAAAATGAACAATTTTGATTGTATAAAATTGAAAAGTTTGTGCACATGCAAATCTAATGCAGTTAACATTAGAAAGGAAAGTGGTAGCTAGAAAAAAAATCTTTGTGTAAATCTCTCTGATAAAGGTCTCATATCCAAAATATACAAGGAATTGATTCAAATTTATGACTGAATTATTCTCAAGTAGATCAACAATCAAAGGAGATGAAAAGGGAGTTTTCAAAGGAAGAAATATACAAGGTATCAATAACCATATGAAAAAATTCTCCAAATCAATAATTAGAGACATGCAAATTAGACCAACTCATGCCCATCAGACTGATAAACAGACTGATAAAACATAAAATGATAAATACTGAAGGAGAAATCAGGCACATTAATGTACTGTTGATGGAGCTGAGAATTGGTCCAGCCATTCTGGAAAGCGATTTGTAACTTATGATAAAAAAGTTACTAAACTGCACATTTGGCTCAACTATACTATTCCTAGGCTTATGCCTCAAAATGATCAGAGAAAGAGGAAAAGAACCCATATGTACAAAAACATTTATAGCAGCTCTTAGGGGGTGCCCATTTATTGGAGAATAGCTGAACAAACTGTGATATAGGAATGTAATGGATTGATCTGTAAGAAATGACA